ACCGAGTTACTGGGGCTGAGGACTGGGAACCATGGTCTTGGGAGACACCTAGGTCAATTGGTATAACATAGTTCCTAAAGAAAACGTTCTACATCCTACTTTGATGAGTAGCATCTAGGGTCTTAAAAGCTTGCAAGTGGCCATCTAAGATACATCTATTGGTCCCATCCTGTGAGGAGCAAAGGAGAATGAAGAAAACAAAAAAGACACAAGGAAAATATTAGTCCAAAAGACTAATGGACCACAGCCTCCACCAGCCTGAGCCCAGAAGAACTAGCTGGTGCCTGGCTACCACCACCAATCTCTGACAGGGATCACATAGAGGGTCCTGGATAGAGAGGGAGAAAAATGTAGAACAAAATTCAAATTCACAAAAAAAGACCAGACTTGACTGGTCTGACAGAGACTAGAGGAACCCCCCAAGACTATAACCCCCAGACACCCTGCTAACTCAGAACCGAAATCACTCCCAAAGTCCACCTTTCAGTCAAAGATTAGACAGGCCTATAAAACAAAGAATAACACAGTGAGGAACGTGCTGCTTAATGCAATCAAGTGTAAGAGACCAGATGGGCAACACCTGCCCAAAAGCAAAGACAAAAAGGCAGGAAAGGACAGGAAAACTGGACGAATGGGCACAAGGAACCCGTAGTGGAAAGGCGGAAGACTGCTGCACATCGCAGGGATTGCAACCAATGTCATAAAACAACTTGTGTATGAATTTTTTAATTAGAACATAATTTGTGCTATAAACTTTCACCTAAAGCACAATAAAATAAAAAAATAGACCCACATTGTAAATTTTCAGAGCACAGGGAGCAAAGATGATTCTGTAAGCTTCCAAAAAGAACAAATAGGTCACACACAAAGGAAGTACTTCTCAACAGCAATACTGAAAAGTAGGTATCAAGTGAGGTGATGATTTACATTTTGAAGGAAATTTATTTCCAACCTAGAATTCTGTAGTTATCAACCAAGTGGGAAGGTAGAATAAAGATATTTTCAGACATGTAATGACTCAAAAATGTACCACCCACGTACCACTTTTACGATGTTGCTGGAAGGTGTACTTCACCAAACTTCATACCCACTAAAATGGCTAAAATTAAGATGACTGACGATACAAGGTATTGGTGAGGACATGGAGCAAGTGGAATGCCATACATTGCTGGTGTGACTGTAAAATGGTAGACCTACTATGGAGGACAGTTTAAGGTTTCTTATAAAATTAAACATATACCTACCCTATGACCCAGAAGTCCCACTCTTAAGAATTTACATAAGAGAAATAAAAATATATATCTGCAGAAAGACTTAAAAAAAAAATAGGAAGACTCACACTTCTTAATTTCAAAATGTACTATAAAGCACAATAATCAGAGCAGTGTCATAATGGTATAAGGATAGACATATAGATCAATGGAATAGAATTAAGAGCTGGGAAGTAAACTCATACGTATATGTCCATTTGATTTTTGACAAGAGGGCCAAGTCCATTCAATGGAGAAGGAACAATCTCTTCAATAAATGGTGCTGGGAGAACTGGACAAATGCTAAAGAATGAAGTTGGACCCATACCTCACATCGTATGTAAAAATCAACTCAAAATGTATCAATGACCTAAATATAAGAAGTAAAATCATAAAACTCTTATAAAAAAACATAGGAGTAAAACTTCAAGGCCTTATTTTTCACAGTGGATTCTTAGATTGACACCAAATGTACAAGCAACAAAAGAGAGAATAGATAAATAGGACTCATAAAATTGAAAAAAAAATTGTGCATCAAAGAACTTTATTGAGAAAGTGAAGAGACAACCTACAGAATGGGAGAAAATAGTTGTGAACCATATATCCATAAGAGTTTAATATCCAGAATATAGAAAGAACATTTACAACTCAACAACAAAAGAAAAACAACACAATCAGAAAATGAACAAGAACTTAAGTAGATATTTCATCAAAGATGATATGTTGTTGTTGTTAGGTACCATTGAGTCAGCCCTGACTTATGGCGTCCCTATGTACAACAGAACAAAATGCTGCCTGGTCCTGGGCCATCTTTATGATTGTTTGAAGATCAGACAATGTTCTGTTGTGATCAATAGAGGTGTAATTGGATATCTTTTCAGAAGTAGATCCCCATGTCTTTCTTCCTAGTCTGTCTTAATCTTGAAGCTCCATGGAAATCTGTTCAGAATCATAGCAACACGCAAGACACCACTGACAGACAGGAGGTGGCCTGACATGAGGTGACCGGCCAAGTATCAAACTCAGTTCTCTCACATGGGCGGTGGAAATTCTACCATTGCATCACCAATGCCTCAAAGAAGATATACAAATGGCCAATAAGCACAAGAAGGAATGTTCAACATCATTAGTCTTTAAAAAATTAAAACCAAACCTGTTGCTGTCGAGTTGAGGATGGAGTGGAACATCCTCCTTGTGTTTC